TATTGGGAGTTCGCAGTCACTTACTTGTCCTTTCCACTTTACACAAGCTGTAGTAGCGTATAGCTGTAGTTACTGTAAAGCTGTAGTAGGAGTTAAGCTGCAGAAGGTGAAGTTGTATTATGTGTAAATCTATAGTAGGTGAACCTGTACTAGGTGTATAGCTGTATAAGGTGTAAAGTTGTATTAGGTGAAGCTGTAGTAGCTGAACGTGTAGTAGGTGTAAAGTTGTAGTAAGTGTAAAGGAGATGTAAAGTTGTAGTAGGTGAAGCTGTAGTAAGTGTAAAGGAGATGTAAAGTTGTAGAAGGTGTAACGTTGTAGTAGGTAAAGCTGTAGAAGGTGTAAAGTTATAGTAGGTGAAGCTGTGGTAAGTGTAAAGGAGATGTAAAGTTGAGCAAATTACAAGGGTGTAATCATTTTCCCATCTAATTTTGACTTGGCATTTAGCGTCTCCTATTAATTGCCAACAGAGACACTAAAACATATGAGAGCCACTAATTACAAGAAGTTTTAACGCTTCAAAATATGACAGTTAACTGCTGGTAGACAGCCATAGAAACTGTCATTAATCGGCCTGTTTGTTCTTGCGAGTGCAGTAAGTTCTTGCGAGAAGTATATAATTGAGCCATAATGCCCACATACAGTAAGTACCGCTGCCTGGTTATAACCAGAAATCTGTTCAATAATGGTTATTGCAAGCTGCCACAGGTAACCACTGGTTACGACACAACTCACACAAGTTCCAGGTCCGTCATGCTGTATTAACAGAAACTCACCGCCTTGGGTTGGTTTTGCCCCATTTTTCCTTCTAGTTTGTTTGTAATAAGATTTCGCAGTCACTGCAAGTATCACACACACCATGTACGGAGACACCGGGACAGCGTGACATCCGGAGAGCAGAAACCATTTATAATTCTTAATAGAACATCATTTTGTGCATCACATACATCCTGCATAAAGCCGACTTTATCATATGATGGTGTACTACTGTCAGCAGAATATACAGACAGTTGGTAATGAGGGGGTTAAACTTAGGACAAGCTCATTAATAAAGAACGTTATTGTATTGTATCCCTAAAATCCCAATTTATCTTGTATTTTTCAGGTGCACAATGTGCTGCAACAGCTGCTTTTAATCCCAAGTATAATGGAATATTTTGGAATGTGATCTATAAAAACTAGCATGACTGAAATGATACAGCGATAAAGGGGAAAGAGCCTCTTTCCTGCCAAAACATTTCCAGGAGAAGTCTTTAAAAAGCCAGAGTCACATGTATATTATGGAGAAAAAACAAGTTTTCATCCACTGGCTGCACGCTGCAACATAGAAAGCATGTGTTAGATACAGCCTTGAGTATACTAACAGCCGTCTATATACTGCCAGCCCTCTGTATACTAACAGCCGTCTATATACTGCCAGCCCTCTGTATACTAACAGCCGTCTATATACTGCCAGCCCTCTGTATACTAACAGCCGTCTATATACTGCCAGCCCTCTGTATACTAACAGCCGTCTATATACTGTGAGCCCAGCCCTCTGTATATTAACAGCCATCTATATACTGCCAGCCCTCTGTATATTAACAGCCATCTATATACTGCCAGCCCTCTGTATACTAACAGCCGTCTATATACTGCCAACCCTCTGTATATTAACAGCCATCTATATACTGCCAGCCCTCTGTATACTAACAGCCGTATATATACTGCCAGCCCAGTCCTCTGTATATTAACAGCCATCTATATACTGCCAGCCCTCTGTATATTAACAGCCATCTATATACTGCCAGCCCTCTGTATACTAACAGCCATCTATATACTGCCAGCCCAGTCCTCTGTATATTAACAGCCATCTATATACTGCCAGCCCTCTGTATATTAACAGCCGTCTATATACTGCCAGCCCAGTCCTCTGTATACTAACAGCCGTCTATATACTGCCAGCCCTCTGTATACTAACAGCCATCTATATACTGCCAACCCTCTGTATACTAACAGCCATCTATATACTGCCAGCCCTCTATAAACTAACAGCCGTCTTTATACTGTCAGCCCTCCGTATACAAACAGCCGTCTATATACTGCCAGCCTTCTATATACTAACAGCCATCTTTATACTGCCAGCCCTCCGTATACTAACAGCCCCATATATTCTGCCAGCCCTCCGTATACTAACAGCCCTATATATTCTGCCAGTCTTCAGTATACTCACTGCATTCAATTGAATATACCTGCCTAGGGTCCTGGGCAACTGCAATCTGGCTCTGAAATCCAACCTTCCACAGACCTCTCCTAGTCTTTCCCAGGCTCAGATATGAATCCAGTCCTCCAGCTTTAATGGCAGTGTAAGCCTCCACCAGATCTAAAACTTATAAGGGAACCTTGTGCACCTTTAGCATTTCCAATCTCCCAACCTTACACTCACACTCAACCTTCTCCAAACTCCCACACTCCCACTCACCCTCAACCTTCTGCAACTTCCCTCCCTCCCACTCACCCTCGACCTTCTGTAAACTCCCACCCTCCCACTAACCTTCAACCTTCTCCAAACTCACACTCTCCCACTGAAACTCAACCTTCTCCAAACTCCCACTGATCCACAACCTTCTCAAAACTCCCACCCTCCTACTCACTCTAAACATTTCCAAACTCCACAACTCCCACCAATCTTCAAAGGTCTTCAAATGCCCACACTGCCACTCAACTTCCACCTTCTCTAAACTCCCACCCTCCCATTGATACACAACCTCCTCCAAATGTTCACCTTGCCACTGACCTTAATGGTCTCAAATATCCCACCCACCCACTCATGCTCAACCTTCTCCAAACTCCCACATTCACCCTCAACCTTCTCCAAACTCCCCCATTCACCCTCAACCTTCTGCAAACTCCCACATTCACCGTCAACCTTCTGCAAACTCCCACATTCACCGTCAACCTTCTGCAAACACCCGCACTCCCACTCACCCTTTTCCAAACTCTTCCCTCCCACACAAACTCAACATTCTCTAAACTCCCATCCTCCCATTGATACACAACCTTCTCCAAACTTCCAACTTGCCACTTACCTTAACGGTCTCAAATATCCCTGTCAGGACCAGTGCTGGCTTTCCGCGAGAGGCGGCTTCCGCTGGCCATGTGCTGCTAGCGGCACCCTCACCTGACTCCCCTCCGCGAGCGGTGGCTTCAGGCTCTTTGCCGTCCACCACTCGCGGCGGCTTCTCATACCTGCTCACTGCTTGTGGTGATTTCCAATTCTTCCGGCAACATTTCTGATGCTGCGCGCTTGTGTGCAGCGTGCTTCAATAGGCGCCCGAGTCAGTCAAATGACTCAGCAAGCAAATATGATGCCATACGTCAAAGTGGAAGGCCCAAATACCTTCCACGTGTCATAATTAATTCCAAGGGAAAGTTAGTCAATCAGAAGCCTCCTAATCATATTTAAACCTCCCTCTTCCGTTTCTTGTTGCCCGGTTGTGGTATTCTGATAGCCCAAAAGCGCGTGTATTCTGTTTGATTGTCTGGTTAACGAATCTTGGCTTGTCTCACCGTTTATCCTGCTTTCTCTGACCGTTGACTTTGGCTTGTCTTATCGATTATTCTGTCTCACTGGTTCCCTCTGACTTTGGCTTGTATTCCAACTTCTCTCTGTGTGCACAGCCCGGCCACTCTAAGGACCTGTACTGCACTTCCTGTGTCTGTGTTCTGTCAGTGTGTCTGGTTCCAGAGTCTGTGACATTCCCACCCTCCCACTTATGTTCAACCTTCTCCAAACTCCCACACTCACCCTCAACCTTCTCCAAACTCCCACTCTCCCACTCACCCTCAACCTTCTTTAAACTCCCACGCTCACCCTCAACCTTCTCTAAACTCTCACCCTCCCAGTCACCTTAAACCTTTTCCAAACTCCACAACTCCCACTGACCTTCAACGATCTCCAAGCTCCCACCCTCCCAATCACTTTCAAACTTCTCCAAACTTTCACCCCACTACTCACCCTGTATCTTCTCTAAACTCCCACCCTGCCACTGATCTTAGTGTAATAAAACTCCCACCCTCCCACTGATCAACAACCTTCTCCAAACTCCCACTCTGCTATAGGCCCACGACAGTCTCTAAACTCCCACTGATCCTTAAAGGGATCCAATAGTGCCAGGAAAACAAACCTGTTTTCCTGGCACTATAGGCTCTTGGAGTGCCCTCCTCCCTCGGGGTCCCCCTCCCTCAGCGCCGAAGGGGTAAAAACCCCTTCAGCCACTTACGCCGGGCTCCCTCAGCACTGGTGACCTCTCCTCCCCCGCCGTCAGCTCCCGAGTGGAGCGTGCGCATTCAAACCCGCCCATTACTGAATGCTTTCCTATGGGGATCTTTTTTGACGCTGGAGGTCTGTGACGACGTCCAACATGAAATAAGTGCGATTTACTGAGTGTAAATCGCTGAAGCGCCTCTAGGAGCCACTAGAGGCTTGATTAACCCTGCAGTGTAACTAGGGGGACCTGGCACCCAGACCACTTCAATGAGCTGAAGTGGTCTGGGTGTTTATAGTGGTCCTTTAACGTTCTCCAAAAACCACGTTTTTCAAGTTGGTTCTAAAGTTTCCACTCCCGTCTACCACTCCTTGTTTAGGTATAAACACTAATACATTGTGTAGATAGATCATGTGTTTTTGGATCGTAAAGCTTTCTCTGTGTCAGTGAGTGGGTTGTATGTGCATTCTGAGAAAGTGAATGTTGCATTATGGGTGGGCCCAGGTTTTTGTAATCCCACCAATTACAGATATTAATATAAGATGTATAAACCCTTTGAAACAAACTGTGATATATTGGCTGCATGTATTTCCAATTTCATCAGTGTAATGGCAATAAAATATTTTGCTCTTTATATATGTCCATACTGATTTTATATAAATATTAAATATGCTAATCTATAAACCGTACCATTGTGTTGTTATTAGCAATTTCTAATTTTCTATGTTTTCCAGATTAATACCTTATCCATTTGGAATTATCATTAGTTCTCAATAAGCAAGCTTTGTTTATAACCATTCCGCCTACTCCTGACTAGGAAGCATGGATCAAAGGTTACAATTTATATCTAATAAATTAATCAAACGTGGTTCTAGGGTAATATGTTAAGTATTAAAAATAAACAACACCCCAAAAATTAACCAGTCCTTCATCGATTTTTTGTTGAGAATAGTAATCTTATGTCCTCTTGGAAAACAGAATCGGATAATCCCAAATGCATAAACACATTAATTCCAAGAATTTAAAAAGTAATGTTTACTTAAAGTAAATAAAACGTCTTATTTTTCCTTGTTTTAATTGCTTAGACTGATATTGAGAGAGAGCAAATTTCAAGCAGATCATGGGTGTTGATGGAGGGGATCTTATGGGGCTCAAGCCCCAGTTATGAGACTGATTGTCCTCTGCCCTTTACAAGTAGACTGCCGTCCATTCTACTATTACCAATGCTTCATTGTCAATGAACAGCAAATGCTAGTACCAGATGTTTGATGTTATTATTATTATTATTTTTATTTTTTTTAATTTCTTTTATTCAAAGAATTTTCATTTTATGCATAAACAGACTCGCGGACACGCAGGTCCAATAAAGGCTTTTTCAATTCACGTCTCAGACATGATATAGTTATAGTGAGCAACCATGGTGACATGCAAGTCATCAAACAGTCTAAAGAAACATTCTAGTTGGACTCGTAGGTCCTAAAAACCTTTGTGTGGATAGGGCTTTCCCTCAAGCGTACGGTTGTTGTGGCTATGCTAGGCCACCTAGTGTGACAGAGGTGGTTTGTGTCTTGTGCCAAGACAGGTAGTGAGTAATGACCCACCGTATGGGGGAGAAACAGGATTTTGTGCGTGCCTTGCGAGTTCAGTTCTAGGATCTTTGGTGACGGTGGGGTGGACCCCTGTTAATCTGGCTGGGGCGGAGGTGGTTTGTACTGTCTTAATCCTGTCTGCTCATTAACTCCCGCGTTTGACGTGGGTGCAAAGTTGAGCTTGTTTCTCCTTGTCTTATCCTTAACCATGAACCCCTGTCTCTTTTCCTGTTTTACCTGTCTTATTCTCTTTTCTCCTTCCTTCTAGTCCCCCTTACCCCTTTCCCTTTCCTTTCCCTCCCTTCTTTTTCTCTCTTTTTACTCTTGTCTTTTCCCTTCCTGTTCTTTTCCTTCCCCCTTTGCTACCCTTATCTTTTCCCTCTCTTCCTTTCTTTGCTTAGAGGGTGCCCGTCCGTTCGAAGCCTCTACGTCCTATGAACTTCTCTACTGTGTCGCCTTCCCGCCCGCGGGTTCCCTCAGGGGGGGGGACGGGTGAGGGGGGGGTAGGAGGGGAGAAGAGGGGGAGGGGGTGTTTTATTTATTATGATGTTGTTTCTGGTATTTTTCCTGTTTGTTTGTGCAGTTACTCTCTCAGTCAAGGTAGTCTTTTGTCCCGTCAGGTGTCTTCAGTCAAGTCAACAGATCCTGGAAGTCAGCGTTAGTCGAGGTCAGTATCCAGTGTGTCCAGATCGTCATGTACATCTGGGTCCTCCCCTCTGCCAGCAGGGAGAGCTCTTCCAGTGCTCTCAGCTCCTCCATTCTTTGGTACCACGTCCCTAACGGGGGCGCGCATTGTTTTTTTCCAATAGAGGGGGATTAGGCTTTTGGCTACATTAAGTATCCGTATGGTTAAGGATTTTTTATATGTCGATGCTTTTGTCTTGGTGTGATGGATGAGGAATGTTGCGGAGTTCATGGGTGGTGGGGAGTCTGTGAATCTTTTTATGATCGTGTGAATGGCTGGCCAATATGGTTGGATGATTGGGCATTCCCACCATATGTGGAGGTATGTTCCCTTGTGTGTGTTGCACCTCCAGCATACGTCGTCCTTCGTGGGGTTGTATAGGTGTGTGTGGAGTGGGGTGCGGTACCAAAGGGCCAGTATTTTGTATGCTGTTTCTTGCGTTCCGCTGGATGGTGCGCAGTGTAGTGAGAGGGTGCATATTTTGTCCCATTGGTTGGGTGTGAATGTGGTGTCTAAGACTGTTTCCCATTTCCCCATGAAGCTCGGGGGTGGTAGCCTCCTCAACCGCATGATCATTCCATAGAGCGTTGATAGGCCCCTCTGCAGCGGGTCCGGGTCCATGCATATCTCTTCAAACGTTGTTAAGGGTCTGAGGGTGTGGTTGTTTCGGGTGGTTTCTTGTATAAGCCCTTTCAGTTGTCGGTATCTGAATTAGAGCATAAATGGGTGATCAGAGTTCCCCATCAGGGCCTCTAGTGATTTGAGGCGGCCATCGTCCATGGCGTGGAAGAGCCTCGGTATGTCTTGTCCCAGCAGCTGGACCAACGTTCTTGGTTCCCTTCCTGGTGGGAAGGCTTCATTATGGACTAGGGGCATCATTGGGGATGGTGTGGAGGTGAGCGAGAGTGGTACTGCCAGAGCTTGCCAAACCCGCACGGTCGCTTTGATTAGGGGATGTGGGGCAGCTAGCTGTCTGCTTTGTTGGGGATCTAGCCAGGGAAGGACTGCCATCGGTCTCTCCACCAGCGAAGACTCTACATCCTTCCAAAGTTTC